TCTCCGTTGGCCAGTATTCATTCCTCTTCGGATCTAGCTAGTTATGAATATAGGGTAATTTTCCTGGAACAGTACCAACAGTATGATAAGTCAGCCCCCACCCAAGTTTTTTTCTTCCTCCAATAAACAAAGCGCTCCATATGTAATAGTGACGCAATTCTCGTCTAACTTCTACAAGACCGTTCAACAGTTGTTTCGGTTTTTCCATTTCCATTTAATCATTTGTAGTTTATTATACTAGAAGTAGAGTGAGTAAGCTTTCGCTTGACGAAAGCATCACGAGGAGTTGGTTACGATGGTTATGATTGATATTTAATGATGGTGATGGGTGTTCAGACGATGGAGTTATTTGTTTCTCGCACGTGAGGTGGGGTAATATAAGTTGGGTTCGGCCAACTACAACAGCGAGTTCTTTATTTCCTCGTACGATTATTTAGCAAGATTAAAGTCTCTCGATCGATCTGACGTTGCGCTCGAGATTGATTCAGTCGTCCGGGTCGTCCCTAACCATCTAGACAGTACAGTGCGATAAAAATTGGCAAAATGTATTAAATATATAGAATGCATTAATAAACAATTCATTGGCGGATGCAGAGAAAACTAAGCAAACTAACTAAAATAACTGAAAAAAAAGCATTAACCTGGACACACGAGTTTATGAGTTGATGAGTTATGGAAAGTGTACTCGGTATTAGCAGTTGGTATTGATAATTGCAAATGGAAGGTTGGGTAATGGAGAGGAAATTTTCGGTGTGCGAGGGGGAATTTTCCGAGTACGAAGCGTCAAACGTTCACATACACGGAGACAAACTCAGGGACTGGGTGGTGGTGTATGTAGTGCAAGGCGAACCAGTGGCCACAAACTTTTGGTCCACAGGTAACATACTCCAACGCCCATTATTCAAATATTACATCAACCACAAACCAAGCTTTTCCAATAGCTAGCCTCTTGACGTTTTGTTTTTTTTTTGTTTTTTTTTTTTTTAAATAGTATTCCAATTGAAATTTTTATTACTCACCAGAGACTTTGACTTGCCATTCACTTTTCACACCAAAATCTCAATATAGCAGAGTCACGTCAAATATCGCAGTATGATTGCGAGACAATTTTTTATTTTATCGATATCTGTGAGACACTCATCTTTGTGAGTGGTCATGTCCCTGAGTTAGAAGGTCTGACAATTATAATCTTCATTTCCACTTAACACACGGCTGAAAATTCTTGACTCGTTGTTGCACGTGGCGCCTTTATCTACCGATAGTTATTAAAAGAATGGTGATCGAATGGGTTTTTATTGTTATTTGACAAACCAAGTACTCTCTTTGGATATTAATCGTTTCGTCGGGTAAACCAATCACCATTACTTGAGCATAAATAATTTATCATCTTCCCTTGCGCAATTTACATATATATTATCAAAAAAAACTTGTCCAACTTCAAGGCTATGAGGGAATCCAATTGAATTGAATATTTCAGAATGCAGGAATGTGAAATTTTCATGAAGTCATCAATTACTGTAAATTAGCATCTATTATTGTTGTTGACAGATTCGGACAGCGATGGGAAGGACGGCTCCACTCTTCAGGAGAAGCGACAGGCTCGTCTTACTCAACCAGACAACACCATTGCCTACAGAGTGAGTATTAGTCCCTCAAGATACGGAGCGAAAATTTTTCTCAACATAATATCATTTTAATTTATATCATTCTGAGGCTATAGAATTCTTCATTCCCATGGCATGGTCAGTAAAAATACTAACAATTAGTATATAGTAATCATAAATCCCCTCGCTTTGAGGGTTATTAACGTGTTACTCATTCAAATGACACTTGCATAATCGTGGAGGTGTTTACCACCCATTCTGGAATATGAGTGAATCGATAATGGGGATGGAAGCCACAGTGTTCTGGTCTTTATCGGTAATCAGACACTAGAGGGAAACCAATTAATTGGATCGTTTGAATTATCCAAATTGGCAACTGGCCATTCTCGGTTAGGGATAATAATCCATGAGGAAACCGAGCTCTTATTCTCCAAATTCCATGTATTAAATGTTGCCCATATCAAAGATGCAATCACTCGTTTTTCCCTTCGAGGTTAAAGTGACACACCAAGCCACATGAGCATGTGATTAGGCCAGAGAATTCCGTTTTCTGTCTTTTGTGTGCTATCATCAAGAGCACTCTCTTCCTCCTTGAAAAACAAGACTCCTTCGTCTTTTTTTCTTCAACTTCTATGCACGGCTCCACATTATCCCCCCTGGCATTCCTGTTTCTGTCTTTGATGGGTCTCTTACCCGGTCATCATTATCTTGCTTGTTTGAAAATTTTTTTTTCCCTATTGTTCAAGCCTTTCAACCAAACGACAATGAAATCGTATTTCAGTCGAGTTGAATCAATGCTGGAAAGCTGATGAAAGTCATTGCATTATGCAATTAATAAATGAAGAGAGAAAAAAAGTTTGATAGATTTTGCCGTGTTAATTTTGAGAGGTTTCTCGTTTGGTTTTGATGATATTTTCATATCATAATTTATATCATTATTATAATGAGCGCTATTATTTACATTTCAGGTGGGCGACAGAGATACCCTAACATCAGTGGCAGCCCGGTTCGATACGACCCCATCAGAATTGAGTAAACTCAATAGGCTTGGTAGCACATTCATTTATCCGGGACAACAACTCTGGGTACCTACTAAGGGCGAGGCTCGTCTCGGTCTTGATGAACTTGGCTTGGACACACCAAGCCCTGACCCATGCCATGATCATGATTCTCACGATGATTTACCACCTGAAGAGAAAGGTAAAATTCCATTGTCAAATCCATTTATTTACTATTATTCCATGAATATTTTACTTAATTATACATGAGGTCACAAAACCACCAAAATTGAATATACCAACCGTTCATGTACCGTTAAACCTCATTTAATCATTAAAAATTCAAACGAAAATCACTTTAAAATCATTAAATCAATATCAAAGAAATTGAAAAAAACACGATAAAACTAGAAAAGCTGATTCATCAGCTGAAGAAAATTGTCACAATATGGCACCTCTGATGTCATTCGAATAACCATCAATTTACACTTACAAAACCAATTCTCAATTTTCAGCGAAATAAAAAATTTAATTGATTTATTAACAAATCATCGTCTCCAAGTGAAAAAAAAAAAACCCCGTTGATAAAAATCGTTACTCAGCAATCATCCACTAGGTTTTTCCTTCTCGAAGATGTTTACTCAGGGCATTAAAATGTACTTGTTATCAAGAATATGTGACACGGTTGTAAACTTGTATAACTCTGATGGCTCAGCAGCCAATTGGAACAAGACACGACTAACTGTTCATGTACCAGTTGTCTTGAAAAATATTGTTTGTTCAAATGGGAGTTTTGCGGTAGCCTTATCCAGTAGCATTTGATTTTCTCGTCTCTAGTCACTAGAGTCTAGTGTCTAGAGCCAAATGGAGCACCTCAAACGTAATTGTTATTAAAAAAAAACGAAAAAAAAAAAAATTCAAGAGAAAAATGTATTGCTTGGCAAGTTTTTCTATTGGATTTTTTTTTTCTTTTCAAAAGTACTAGAAATTCGGATATAGATTACTATAGTAAATAATTTTTGAATCGTTTTCTAGAGCTATTGGACAATTTACGACCTGTTTCGCCGAAACCAGGTCACTCGGAGCGAATTAAAACGCCACTCGACAGTCGCACTGGGGATGGGGATGAAGCGGTATATAGAGAGAGATTCTTGAAGATAAATGTTCGTCATATCACAGACGGACAGGTATGTTTTTATGACTGAGCAAAATCTCCAGTAACAAAAGGTGTACCCGCGACAAATATTTTCCTCGTGTATTTCACCACATGAAAAATGAATAAATAAATAAAAATAAAAATAAAGTAATGGTTTTCAGGGAGTTGTCGGTGGTGTTCTCCTGGTAACACCAAATGCAGTAATGTTTGATCCAAACGTATCGGATCCTCTGGTAATTGAACACGGGGCTGAATCATACGGTGTTATAGCACCGATGGAATTTGTTGTAAATGCAGCAATATACTATGATATTGCTCACATGAGGGTCAGCCACACAGAGGCTCTTGGTACTGATAAAAAGCCAGAAATTTACTACATGGAAAAACCTACCAAGGGTGGAAAATGCATGTCACCTGGCAAGGATGAGAATTTTTCCGAATTCACGACTGATGATAATGAGAGTGTCTGCAGCTGCGCTGAGCGTGAGGGCGATGCATTTCCAAAGGCCTTTGAAAGGGATCTCGTTACACCCACCAACCTCCACACCGATGATGGGCCTGCTTACAAGGAAAATGAACGCAAGGAAGAGGAAAAGGAGAAGGAGAAAAAGAAGGAGGCGGTGAGTGGTGAGCTGAGCGCCCAGTCGATGAGGAGCCTGGAGGAACGCAGGCGTTCTCTTCTCGATCATCACTGGGCTGTACCCAGCAAAGACAGAAACTCCATGTCTGTCGATGACGAACAACAGGACTCGATCAATTCAGACAAGTCGCAAGCCGAGTCGTCAAAACCAAATGCCATACCTGAGGATGAGGAGGGATATCTAGTCAAACAGTCGTGCTACGATTCTGGTATCGACATACGTGAACCTATTCCTCCTATTCCTGTAGTGCAACCTATCCCGTCGAAAAAAATATATTCCGACGCGGAAATAGTTTTATCGTCAGATTGGGTACCACCGATAACCATTGCACCGAGTAACGTTACGAGTACCACTACCCTGGATACCGGTCTGTCTGTCAATGGGAGGAAGAAGGCTAGCTCTGTATCCTTCAGTCTCGATAGTAATGCTGAAGAGCCTGACAAGGATGAGGAGCATAAACCCGAGGACGATAAGCAGGAGACGCGCAAAAACAAGGTGATGAGAAAGCTTTTTAATAATCCATTAATTTCAAATGGACAGTTAAAATGAAAATTCAAATTTACCGCAGATGTTGAAGAGGCTGTCCTATCCTCTGTCCTGGATGGAAGGTCTCACCGGTGATAAAGATGATGAGGCTAAATCAGTACCTGATAAAGTAGCAAGTCTCCCCAACAGTGCAGACAGTCATCACTCGTCAGTATTCAGTAAAGTCTTTTCGAGGTGAGAGAGCCAGTCTCGGGGGATCTCCCATCCCCGTATATTTAAACAATTATTTTTATCCCTAATATTTTATTTAATCGTTCAACTCATGATTTGGCATTGTTTGAGGCATTGAGATTTTCAACTGCTTAAATGCGTGACGTTTAAAGTTTTATTTAACCAACAACAATGAATGAGGGAAATCTCAACTAATTCGATGGAATGTCTCGTGTGCGCCTACAAAAAAAAAAAAGTAATAAATAGGTAAAAACTCAGCTTATCATTGACGAGTGGATAAGTCGAGATTTCCCGACTGTTGCCGTCAGCTTAAACGATAATTAACCCATGAGTGAATCGAGTTAACTAACGAGTACTGTGTAATGGTGGTGGATAAAATAAGCTCGCCGATCAACCTGGTGAGTGACTTTAGCTCGGGGCTGTTTGCTAAAACGCCAAGTGAAGAGAGCAGCGGAGGCGGTAGATCTGGTAGTACACCACCTCTTACCGCCTCCTCGCTCTCCCAGGACCACAGCTATCAATTTTCACCAGGGCCCACTAGTCTCTTGGGGTGAGTCTAGCCCTCATCCTCTTCCCCACCAAATATTCCAACTATTTTTATTCAATCACCTCCATGCTTATATCATCTCATCGAATCAAACGATCCTCTTCAATTAAACAACATAATTGTTCATTCAAGTTAAAATTAATGTGAACGCCTAATCGTTTGATTCGATAGCAGAACATACATTTATTCGAATAACCATACTTAACAACACAATAAGGCTTTAAATGTTACTCTTCCTTAATGTTGCAATTGTCCAAATAATCTCTTGTCGATTCATCTGAATGTCCAACTGTCGTTCGGTCTCTCGCTTCTAGATGCATTATGACTCTTTACAGGCTAATATCTCCTTCGTGGATCCTTCAAGACTGCTTACAAGCAACACACTGCCAACAGATTCATGATAATCAACAAAATAAGGAAAAGCCAATTTGCCAAAATCGACACTCGATGACAATGAACAATTTTTTAAATATTCATTTTTTTTTTCTTCACCACTTTGACCCACTTGAAAAGTAAAGTGAAGAGAAATTCTCTAGGGTCGATTTTGTCCGGTGGTGGCACCTTCGTCCCCCTGTATCTGTTATGCAACTTGGAATGTTTTTTCCTCTTAATGTTGTTCCTCTTAATCTTGGATAGGCTGGCAAATTGGTTGAATATTGATTGAAGTTGAATATTGTTTGCAGACGCTCATCTGTGGGTACGTTTATTCGTCAGCAGCCCTTGACCTCCTCGGGCAGCAGCAGTGTCGATAGCGCACGTGGAAACAAAATATCAACACAACCACCGAGGGTGGATTACCGCAGTGTCGTGTCTGTCGATGATAAACCCGAGCTTTTCGTCAGTTTTGACAGTGAGTATTTTCATCTTTCAGTGCATTCATCCACCTAGAATGGATTTTATTCGCAACACTCATCCCAACTGACATATTCATTATTTGCCTTGAGAAGTTGAACCATTCAATCGAATCATTTATTTTAAAATAGTACGAGTAAAACTCCATTCAATTACTATCATTAAAAAGCTTCTCATTTCATTTTTCCCTTCTTCTATCTTAAAATATTACCCTTTGTCATATAAATGACAATCAATCAAAATAAATAATTATTTCTTAAAGTCAATTAAATGAATGAAGTTGATCCATACTACTTTAAATTTAATGAAATTGTCATTAACATTGAACTACATGAATTGGGTAAAATTCATACTAATCTAGTAATCTCATCTGTTTCTGTTATCCCTCTAGTCCAAGCACCTCATTTCCCCGACTTAGAAGACCTCGGTAGGTTCATACTGTATTAGTTAAATCATTCCTTCTGTCTGCTCTGATTTAATCACAACATCTAATGCACAACCATTATTTACTCTGTTTTCTTGGTCTCGAATTTCCAATTTCTTTTTTTTTTTTTTTTTCAAATGAAAAATCATTTTGGTTTTAGTATCTTTTCCAAATTTTTTTTCCTAATATAATTTCCTTGAGTTTGTGCTACTGACAAAAACCAAGTCTATGATCCCATATGCCTACATTATTCGCTTGGTGATTATCTCTGCTGTTGTTATTGTTGTTACTCATTTCATGGCCCAATACTGCAGGACAACACAGACATGCACATTATCCCCCGCATGAGAATAATTCTCCAGTTTGTGTTTGTAAATTAGAGTTTTTGGCAAAGGAAGAGTTATCGAATGGTTCTTTAAATGTACATCCAATCGTTATTTGCCATTTTCTTTCTCCTTCTCTGCTGATTGTGAGTTGTGTGCAAAACTTTGAAATATTATCATAAACCAATGACACGAATGACACGATTTGTCGTTCGTATGGTTGATAATGAAATCAGGGATTGAATTTTTCGTTCTTTCAGAATTGATCCCAAGACCGGCGAGGAGCTGCGAGGATCCACCACTGTACCTTAGGCTGCGCACTGGTAGACTAAAGGGCAAGAAGATTCCTCAGTCCACCCCAATCATGAGTTATGGCAAAAAGAAACTGCGACCCGAGTATTGGTTCAGTGTTCCTCGAAACAGGTGAGAAATACGGAAAAGACTTCTAATGTTCCCTTGAATTGACAGTTGTCACTTTGTACCTGGCAAGATAATTAAACTAATAATGATAAGAAAATTGGAGGAAGATAAAAGAGAGCAAAGTGTCATCGTGGTATAATCAATACCGAGAATCCTTCCGAGAGTTCCTAATCGAGATTATCTTTCTTTATCACTCAATTCATCGTCTCCCAAGACGAGTTACTGCTTTTATTTTTCTACCCATCAGCAATAAATGCTTTTTCACAACTGAATATATAATTGACTCCCATCACAATACTCAGTCCATTTGAATAAAAAACAGAGAAACGCCAAGATTAACAAAAATATTACGTGATTCCCATCAGGAAATAAACTCGGACTGTTGCTCAAGTGCGTCACTCACTGGAATTGATCTATTCTTGTAAATTGCCCACTCAAGATAATTTTTATCTTTCAATTAAAATTTCGATACACTGAGCTGAGTATCGATTTAATGAATGGACACATGCACATGATATTATTATGAATTTTCAACGTTGACATTTCTCGTTGGTGAAATTTCACTGAAATATCGAGGTTATCTGCGATAATTGTTTTCACCAAAAAGTTTTTTTTTTAATCAATAAATAAATGGAAAATAATTTCTCGGCTCGGTAAAATGAAAATATTGTGGCGATTAATGAGTCCAGTACAACGCCAAGCTGATAGCCCACACATCCGCGTGTTTATTGAATTCTTGATGCCCCTCTTCCATACCAGGTAATACCGTATCTCATTGAGCCCATAATTTACTTACCCTGGAATGTTCATCGCAGGGTGGACGACCTGTTCAGATTCATTCACTCGTGGGTGCCAGCGTTGTATGGTGAACTTGATGAAAATTACTGGATCGAGCGTGGTTATATCCTCTCAGATACCGACACAGACCTATCGCCGGAAGCCTCCCCCCAGGAAGGGGGAGAACCCGGTGAATTCATCGAGGAGAGCAAAACCGGTGATGAGATTAGTGAACTCACGCGAGAATCGTGGGAGGTGAGTTAGCCTTCATTTCTCCCCCTCGCCCTTTACCCAGGCTATTTTTAAAGCTGAATTTAATGAAGAGATTCAAGCATTTTTATCATCAATAATGATAATTATATCTCTTCATTGTTCTCACTGTCGAAATAAAGAGGAAAAAAAAAAAAAACAATACGTAGAAAAGACACCCAATCATCCTCACTCAAGCGAGCCAAAATGAGAATTATCGAGTGTCATGACTTATTCAAGCAACGGCAAAATTACCACAACTTGTAGAGACTTTAATAACCTCCTTTGAGTATTCAAGGTGGTATAGATGAAAAGATTATACCGATAATTGTGATAAGATGATTAGATTTCTTCAACTTTGTTTACAATGACTGAAGAAGTTTGTTGAAAATAATTAATGGTAAGGGCTCGCTAAATAATGAAGAGATGTTGAAAATAACTTGGTGACCATGTGTATTGGGGGCGTTCAGCGACTCAAGGCGCCGTACGTAAAGTTATGCAGCATGCTGGTCTCGAGTACGTCGGCAGACTCAGAGCAGCCCCAGGACTCCCAGGTACCCCCAACACCCCAACACCCCAAACAATAACAGACATTCAAAATTCGTCATTTCTCTATTCTTCAAACACACTGGATGTCTGCACTCATTATTCTTTTTCGCTGTCTGTTTCCCAGCACATAACCCACTACCTCATTCTATCTTTTTTTTCATCCATCTAAATATTAGTATTTTCCACCAGTTAACGCTGTTTAATCGACCAGGAAAACCTCACTATACTCATTAGATGCAACTTGACACTTTTTCTCGGTTTTTTCCATTTTTTATTCTGCTTTAACTCGACGTTCAATTGCAACGAAAAAATTATTACTCCTTGTTATTATTACGCGCGACGCCTCAACTATGTACAACCGCTCCATTTCAATTAAGTCGATGGTTATTTTGCATGTCCAATGGATTTTTTCAAGAATGTCCCCATCGCAACACTCAATTCGTTCAATTCACCAGTTCAAGGGCTAATGAGACAAGATCCAAAATAAGTTTGAGGGAATTTCGAGGTGATGAGTAAATTTAATCAGACAAATACTAAATTAGTAGAAATTTTGCAAGTGGTCCAAGAAGGACAGACCTTAAAATTAAAATCGAGGAAAAAATCACTTAAAATCGACAATGGAAAATTTAAAAAATTTTCCCCTTTTCACAAAAATTACTCGTCATTGAAACAGAGTAATGAGCTCATGAATAAACTCCGAGAGATCTCACGTTTTACGCAGCGAGCGGTCGCTGAATGTTGGCATTCATCCAACCTTGTTCACCTCTTGTTCTGTTTATCATCTCTCGAGTCCTACTTCATTATTCGGCTAAATCGTTGGCACCGATAAAAAAAAAATGAATGAAAAAAAAAACAGATGTTTCAATGATTTTTCCAGGCGACGAAAGCCTGAAGAGATATAATAATGCGCTTCCCTGGGGTAACTTTTATAGAATTTCCCTAACCATTAATTGGCATTGATCTTCGATCGGTTATAAATGTCTACATAGTGATTAGATGTTGAATGAATTACGTGAAATCAGTCACGTACACTCACGCAGAGTATGTATGCCTGGTGAAAAAAAATTTTTGCTTTAGAAAAAGTGATAAGTTTTCAAAAGTGAAGATGAGTGTCTCGACATAAGTAAAGGCACGTGGTGCGCTGTGGGTGCTGCGCATTTAAATTAAAAAAAATGTGAGGATCCGTACACATTAATATATACATATGTAACTGTTTGCGCTATCGAGGCGGTCCTCTATAACAAGAAGCCCCCAGCTGTAATCCCAGTATTGCTTCAGTCTTCAAGAAGTGAAGCTCTATTCAATGTCTACGTGACAGAGCAGAGAAACATCTTAGTGAAGAATTTTTTTTCTTCAAGTGCAGATACCACCTATACGTGACATTTTTCCCGATACTTTTTATTCTTATTATTTATTCTGGTTTGCAATTATTTGCATACTTGCAGGTGTAATCCAGTCAGTTGTAACCGATTGGTCTGCAGTGAAAATTGAAAAGATTTTGAAAATTCAATGAAAATTTGATATTTTAATAACTTGCGAGACTTATTGAGTGGAATTGACTCGTTTTCGTGCGGCTGTTTAACAATTTTCTTCACGGAAATCAATTCAGCTCATTTATCGAGGATTTTATAATCATGTCTAAGACTAAATTATCAAATCCAATCAACAAAATTTCAAAATTCCTTAAGCAAAAAACCAAGGTATACATACATATCACATATAAAAATATAATTTAATACCTATAATTATTGCATTTTTAGTTATTATAAATAGTTCGCAGTATAATTATGAGGTAAGATAATAATTTATCAAAGAGCTATTAAGGAGAAAGTCTAAATTTAGAAATGAATATTATTGAAAAAATGAATTGGATTGTAGCCCGATTAGGCCGAATTCCTCTGGAATTCAAGCAGTTGCGACAAAACGGTAGATTATGAGAAAAAACATTTGGACGCGGATAAAATGTGCATGCTTGTTCAACGGGAGCATCCTACGCACGTGCACTCATTATCATTAGTCTCAGTATCAGTCTCTTTCCTTGACGTTTTTATTTCCACTGGAGAAACAATAATTTGGAGAGGGCCGCTGCATTTCCTGATCACCTTGGGTCAACCAGGACAGTCCCTGAGGATCCCTCGGATAATCTTGTTGCGAAGCCACTAATTGAAATTTTATCTCGATAAAATAATATACTTTGACTTTTTCATTAATAGTCGATTGATGTTAAAAATGAGGGATCCAAGATGTTGTCATGTCAACTTTAGTTTTCGCACTATTGAAAGATTCTAATCTAAATGGAAAATCAATTGATTTGATTCGTTGATTTTCCAATCGATCATTCCAAGTGGCTATTCTTATCGTCTCTGGTGTTGATCCAAACGCTTGGTGAAAAATCGTTGGTAAATATTTTCCCTCCAGTCTGTCTCGAAAATTTAATAATAAAGCCAGTTCAACGTCCAGTTGGCGCCATTCTGATTGCCGAGGCCAAGACTCCGAGCCCCATTTACTTTTGGATAAATGGAAAGTGTGAAGGGAGTCCTCCAGAAACTCGTTTTGAGGACAGGCCCTGAGCACAGGAATAAACAGCAAGGGCTGCCCCTTCCCGAGCTCAGTGCACTCTATCCTCTCTTCGAGATACATTCTCTCCAATTCATTTTCATTTCAAGTTGCGAGTTGTTATTTTCTCTTTTGTGATTACCATGATTGCCGAACCATATGCCATACTCAATTATGTTTTTCAACATTCGTCTCACCTGCTCTCGGTAAGAAAATTTTTTTCACGAAAAAACTCGTTGCTTATGATTTTCCCGGTGATTTCAGTCTGAATAAATATTACTATTCGCCAATATGGTTGTCAAGGTTTTCCATTCAGTGGTCATACTTTCCATAAATCTCCCGGAAACCTATGTAATGTTGAGAGACAAACTCGTATTTGTGTATTCACCTGGGAGTAAAACTGAGATATTGAGCACAGGGCCACTGGGAAACGTATGCCATTTTTTCGCCCTTGAATTTTCTTAAGGATCTTTATCATTTATCCTTAAAAAAAAAAAAAAAAAAAAAACTCATCTTTCCATGGCCGGGGGCCTGTCTCATTTTCAATAATAAATAAGGCACTGGGCATTGGAAAAAAATCACTGCACTCGATGTCTCCATTTGCACTTCTTCCCTCGAATAAATCACAAAAACACAGGAACAAATGACCTACACTGGATGTTAATAGAAATAATAATATTATTAATAATAATAATGTGTGGTAGATGTTAGAATTTAGCAATAGTACAACTAGAGTGTTATCTAGTATCTAATTAGTTACCTTGAGTGGAGCCCAAGGTCGGGGGTATCGTAGTCGTGGGTCAGGAGTAACGCCCATTGCCAGACATTTTTCCCTCATTATTAAATCATCAAATCATGTAATTCAAATAAAAATGTTGACATGTAATGTCCATCTCTCGATGCCTCCTATCCTTGAGTAATCTGCGATGCAAATCACCGGAGAAATACCACTTGACAAGTGTTTCCACTTGACCAAGACGTACAAAATATAAAATAGGAAAAATCACGACCAACCAAAATTTAAATGGAAAATACCGTCAACTGGAAACACCATCAATTGGTAAAAATTGTGATTATGTTCTAATTGGAATTTGCCTTGTTTTATTTCAGGTGTTGTCCATGAGTGAAGAGCTCCGGAGAGCCTTGTACGCCAACAGTGCAATATCTCTTGACATTGACATTATTGTACCTGATTTAGTTGGTGCAACTGAGATACTCAAGGATGAGCACAGAGAGAATCTGTGCAGACATTTGCCTGCCAGGGCTGAAGGGTACCTATGGACACTCGTTTTTAGTACTAGTCAGCATGGTTTCAGTCTCAACAGTATGTACCGAAAAATGGCCAAAGTTGAGAGCCCCATACTTCTAGTCATTGAGGATACTGAGGGAAACGTAAGATTTTTTTTTTATTCCTATTCCTATTTCATTCCTCCTTTTTCTTTCTTCTACTTGTGCCAATTATTTTTCTTCAATTGATCAGCGCACTTTAATGAAAAATGACCTTCGTTGAAGCTTCAGATTTCTTACTTACTTACTATTATTACAATTATCAAGCCACAATGCACAATCATGCGGAATGAGCTTCAACTATTTTTCCACGGAGCACACTATTATAAATATTATAAGTATTATTATTTTTTTCTTGTTTGTCACAAAGGTTTTTGGTGCGCTCACCTCATGCTCTCTCCACGTGAGTGATCATTTCTATGGAACAGGTGAATCTCTCCTCTTCAGGTTCACTCCGAGGTTCCAAGCGTTCAACTGGACCGGGGACAATGTCTATTTCATCAAAGGAAACAATGAGAGCCTAGCTATAGGGGCCGGAGAGTGAGTATTAATCCATTTGATAAATTCATCTATTTTCACCCGTATACCCATACCCATACCCATACCGTCAAATTCAAATTCAATCCAAATTCAATCCAAATTCAATTGTCCTTCCTCTATTTAGCCTTTTTTTTTTCTATTCGGTTTCAGTGGGAAATTCGGATTGTGGTTGGACGGTGATTTGTACCAAGGGCGAACTCAAAGCTGCAGTACATATGGTAACGAGCCTTTGGCCCCGCACGAGGACTTTGTCGTAAAAACCCTCGAGTGTTGGGCATTCATATAGGATTCGGCCACCTGCTGTCCCACCATCCCAACACTGGAGCCTAATTTGACCTGAGCTCGGGATTTGTAGTGGAAGACAAATCCAAGTATCAGGAGAGATCAGACTTAATCACCATTTTACAAACATTCAAGATGGAGATTTATGTAACGAGAGAGAGAGAGAGAGAGAAAGAGAGAAGAGAGAAGAGAGAAAAGAGAGAAATTATATCTATATCACTAACCACAAAGATACAGAACACAGCTGATTCTCCAGTGGAGTGGAGTCGATGGAGTTAATTCATCATGAAATCATGGAATGAAATTCGATAATCGAGAGTTTCGTATTTTTGAGAGAGATTTGGAGACAGATTAATGAATGACGACGAATAGTTGAGTTGCTTGAATGTCTACTGATGGATAGACTTATCGTAAAGTTTTTTATTTATATTTATTTCTTATTTTGTATTGTTTGATGTTAGTTGTACCCGCCGATAGATCAACGATTATTTCTTCTAAAGCTGCAAATAAAACGAGTTTTGCGGAATTTCCAGACGTTTATTTAATCAAGTGAGTTTGAAGGAGGAGAAATATATTTTTCTGACACGTTGATGGATCGATGAGGAGATGAGAGTAACTTACCTCAACCGAGAGAAGGAGATGCTACCAAAAACAATGCTAACTAACTGTTTGTTGTTGTGTAGATAGTGTAGATATTAAATGTACATATATATACTACACTGCAGTGGTTAGATGATTGATTAACGCTACAAAAACCGCAAATATATATATTATATAAAGAGAATACAAACATCAATATATTCGATTGTATCGTGTATACATAAATATATAGAAATTATACAGTGGGAGGACTCAACTGAGGCCTTGCCCATGATATTTACGATCTGAGATAGTCTGTAGTCATGTGTGATTACCGAGGGAATCATTTTTTTTTTTTTGGCGATAATATTATTATAATTCAAGTCTAGTGTTACAACGAACGCAAGTGTTTTATTTCCACGACCTTTGGATTAATCATCAGTTTTTTTTTTCTTTTCTGCCAAGTGGATATCGTAGTCGAGGGAGTTTTAGTATAATGTACTCATTATTTTCACTCGATTAATGAATTTAAAATATAAATAATGGGAAGGAAATTGGAGAAGAGAAAGCCATCATTAATCATTGTTCACAGAGTGGCGAGGCCGTCGAGTCTTATTCATTGGGTGATGGGGCTTCAACGAATCGACAATTATCGAAGGGTATTAAAGAGGGGTGTCTATCGAAATGACAGTGCCGGAAAAAAATGTTGAGTAGTATCTAGCGAGAGGGATTGTTATAGTGACAACCTGACAACCTCGCACATCATACAAGTCCAGTGATTTACTTTCATAAATTTCTTTTCCCATTCGATTTTTTTTTGTTAAATTTTTTCCCACGTGGAGGTGCGACCATTCATAAAATAAATTATCTCAAGCATTTCGCCGTGATAAAAAAGTTTTTATAGATGTCAGCTTGCTAGACGTAGTTATTCGAGAGATTCAACCTCACAGAAGCTTGTTGATGATTTTAAAAATGCTATGTTTAACGGGGAAAAAAATAATAAAAATGAAAAAAAGCAACTAACGAAAAAATCTGAGATGTATTGTTTGTGATATAAAGAAGACAACATTGCTCCCAGATTGCCTTTTTCTAAATCATGAAATTGTCTATTGGGGGTAAAAGTAATTAGATGAGTGCATAGATGTCAGATGATTTTGGGAGATTATATCCAGCATTGTACAGATATTGAGGAGAAAATAAAAATATCCTTCTGCCTATGACCACAGGTAGGAGTAGAATCTAAATTCGGGTTGGAGGCGGAAAAAAAAAAAAAAAAAAATCTGGAGAGACAAGTTCTATGATTTCAAATGAAATCTCAATACTCTTTGTGACTCAGGAAGTTTTCCATGTTGGGTGAATCAACGTCTAAAATATTAAATTCGGCAGAAGTTATAATAATGAAGTAAACATAAATTTAGAGATGTATTCAGAGATTCAGTGCAGCTTCGATTCTAAAATCATCGAAATGAGATATCACACGTATGAAAAACTTTAAACTGAAAAATGTTGTCTCTCTTGACATTTGCTTAATAAACATCCAATACACTGATCGCTAAAAAAACAATTGATTTTTAATGAAAATCCGCTAGAATGAAATTGCTTTCGAACTTAATGAGATGATGATGATAATGATGCTTGTAGAGAAAGAAAATTTTTCCATGAAATTTTTTCATATGTGTAAAATTATAAGATTTCGTCTCATTTTGGAGATTGAATGGAATTAAAATCTGAAGCAATCGCAGCAGTAATACAACAAAGAATAGCCAGAGCGAAGTTGATCTGTCGTACATTGTCAATTAGTTCCAGACTGACTGCAGGGCTTGAGAGAATGCATAATGCATATTGCAGTTGTGTGTCTTGGTGTTTATTAGTTGTTAGACGTGTTGTCATCTTTGAGGACTTTGTTTAGAACGATTAATGTGATGTAAAAGCTTGCGGGCTGTGGTCTATATCCAGTGATGAGATAATTCAGAGGATAATCGAGTCTTCCTTGAGTGCACATTAAAATCAGATACCAATTAAAATTAATTATCAAAAGTGAAAACCTTTCCGACATATTGAATTTACCGTAGCGTACAGCTAGTTTATTAATATCATTTACACCAATCTCAGACACACAATTATCGAAAGAGTGCAAAAGAAAATATAAATAAGGAAATGAAAAAATCTCTGGACCAATGAATTTTACACTTTATAATTAAAGAAAAATCAACTTCTTCAAATTGCTACTTCCGAGCGCTTCGTAACAATATCTCTGGACCGGAAACAACCCATTGAGAATACAATTTAACGTGTAACAAGTAGAAATCCTTCTGAGATATTGAATTATCGTCAGTGATGAAGAAAATTAAATGAAAAAATATATATTATTGCAATGAGACAAGTTTATAGAAGTGCTACCATTAGCCACCCATCCCAGTCAATACAGTGAATAATGATTATTCGAGGGGAAGAGGCTTTTTGTTAGATAATAATTCTGATGATGACGGTCACTTGGGTTTTGTTGAGGGATCTCATTGGAGGAATGAGTAAGGCATGTCGAATACGTACGTAACGAATACGTGCGTCAATTGTATTTATGTAGATCATTATATATGTAAATATACCTTGGGCTTGTGTGGGCTCATTGTAATATTAACACAAACACAGAGAACAATTAACACGCATATATTCAATAAAATGCCAACCAATGTGTTGTGAATGAATTCACTCCACTGTATTTTTTTTTACCCGAGTTGGAGCTTAACACTCAATCCTTTTTATATTTGAAATTTTTCCATTCTTTATTATTGATATTATTATGGCCCTTCCAAGGCTCTTCCGGTGAATTTTAACGAAATGTAGAATTTAAAAAAATCAACAGTTACAGTCGACTGTAGACAGATTCATGAGTGATTAATTCTTTTGTGACTTCTTCCAAAGTGCTGCACCCTGGAAGATGAAATAAATTTGGCAATTAAACAGAAATATGATGCAATTTATTTTAGCAAGTTTTACCAGCTAAAGCAAGAGCTTCTCTGATCTCCTCTCTCATGAGCTCTAAGATAGCTGTGGCACCTTTTTCACCAGCATGCGTCAGGCCCCAGAGCATCGGCCGCCCGAAGAATACCTCGATAGAAATTATACATTATTTATTGAATTATTTATCGGGTTACCAGCGAATTTGAAGATGAAAAATGCAAGTTACCATTTTAGCGCCCAGCGCTAACGCTTTGAATACATCAGTCCCAGTACGAATTCCACCATCTAAATAAACCTCTATCCTTCCTTCAACAGCACTCACTACCTCTGATAAAGCTTCAATCTAGAGCCATCATTCATAATATGATACCATCACTTTCTAATTAATTTGGTTAAATATAATATTAATAGTTGTGAATTACTGTTGCTGCGGTTCCATCAATTTGCCTCGCTCCATGATTTGAAACAATTACTGCACTGGCTCCATGTTCCATTGCCAATATTGCATCCTCACCGGTTAAAATTCCCTTTAGTACAATTGGCAATTTGGTGATACTATAAATATCACAAATTTTTTAATCAACAATACAAGACAAGGATAATTTCAAGTTGGATAATTATCACCTCCTGAGCCAATGGACATCCCTCCACTCCAACGAATCGTCGATAAGACTTGCAAACAGCTCTTTAAAGGCTCCATCATTCCTGTTAGTATTAATGCTCGTGGCCAAATCTCCATTAAAATTAGCCAACTTTAGGTGACTCGGCAGGGTGAACTTGTTCCGCACATCCGCCCTTCTTTTTCCGAAAAATGGTGTGTCCACCGTAAGGACGACGGCTTTAAACCCGGCCCTCTCTATCCGCCTAATTAAATTCAACGTTATGTCCCGATTTGAACTGACATACAATTGGAACCACTTTATTGCCTTCGGAGCACTCGCTGCGATTTCCTCGATGCTGCTCGTTGATATCGTGGACTGGATGAAAATTGTTCCCGATTTTTCCGCAGCTGGAATCAAATTTTCACCAATACAGCTCGTTTCACCCCTTAATATTAATTAGGAGAAGAAAGATTAATTTTTAAAGGCTTTTTTTAATTACTTGTAGAGCCCCCATAAGACCCTTAACCAAGTTAAATTAACCCTGGCGCCACACGCAATGCTGGGGTGTTTTTTTTTTATTAACCAAGTTTTTATTGCAATGCTGGGGTGTTCATCAAGTCGACGGGGTGAATTTTATTTTCTGCGATATGAATGCTTCTTGTTTTTTATTTGTTTAACTGAAATTTAGCTGACTGTAGAATGAGCGGAAGGGGGAAGCCACATCTTATGGAATTTCAATGGAAAAAATTATTCAATATATTGAAGATATATCACTAATGAAATTAT